AAAAATTATCGGACTTTGTCCATTTCATAATACACACACACACACACACACACACACGTGCGCGGGCGTGTGTGTGTGTGTATGCATGTGCAAATATGTAGGAAAGAACACGTTAGGTAAATAATCCGGACTTCTTTAGTATTTTTGTTTTTACTTTTTAAAAACAGTGCTCAATACAGAAGTAGAGCTTAAATTATAATATGTCGTATATCTGATATGTGGATAAAAATTATCTCTTAGACCCCTTACCAAAATGGTCACCCCAGCTGTTTCCATAGTAAATAAATTTGCGAATGAACATGCTTATAAAGATGCGTAAATTTCAAGATTGGTTATTCCTAAATTTTCGCTTGAAGATGAAACAGGGTTTGATACTTTAATTCAATTTAATTTTAATAATTATATTGAGGTTTTCGGCTCTCATTTTTGAAACATGAGAACACTTATGTAGCGAAGGAATTATATTTTTTGAAAAATAATTATAATATATATATATATATATATATATATATATATATATACTGCGTGTAAATTATTATCGAGATAACTTTTTTTCTAATATTTCAAAGACCGTCCAATCAATTCACACAAAATTTTCACACAATGTTGGCAACACTGAACTGCGCAATCGCTGAAATTTTTGTACTGATCTGCGCAATGTAAACAAACTGGCGCCATATTTGTTATCAGCACGGTGATTTGAGCGTGCCAAATTATTAGAAAAACTATTAGAATTTAGTGAAAAGATGGGCCGTAAAAGCAGTTTAAGTGATGCTGAAAAGAAAACTATTACCTCAGAAATTTTTGAAATATTAGAAATAAAGTTATCTTAACAATAATTTGGCACAGAGTATATATATATATATATATATATATATATATATATATATATATATATATATATATAAATAAACCATAGTGCAAAGAAGAAGAGATCGATTCATGCCTTTCCCAAGTCAATATAACGATCCCGACTGGAATACGAACTAGGTTCTACGATTTGTCATTCCGTTCCGTTAGTCAATGTACCACCCACACATCCAAGTTCACAGCACCGGGTCTCTGTGCATGTTTGTGTGTGTGTGTGTCGGCCGGTTTACAGATACGTCTATCTTAGTCTGGTAGAAAAAAAAAAATAACAGTGTTGGGGAAGCTGTGATGGTCGAACTCACAAGATGAGCGTTTAGTCCACGAGACTAGCTTGCTTACCATCGTGCCACGCCATGATAGGCGCACAATTAGGCTTAATATAATTGTTACCTTGAAGCGAAACTAAGTAAATTGATTTTGCAATGTAATATGGAATGTATATGACAGGTGTGAAGTGGAAATTAGGGGAGAGTGTGACAAGATTGCAATGATTGAACGGTAAATATTGGTAGAGTAGGGGGTATGGAGAATGGGTTAGAGTAGAGAGAAAAACAGGGAAAACTCATTTAAAGGAAGATTGAGTGAGGGAGGAGATGAGAGTCAAGAAGGAGATAGTATCTTTGATTAGAAGAGAAAAGAGGGTAAGATATATTTGATAAGTGTAGAAAGAGAGTTGATAAAGAAGATAACGAAATGTGTGAAAAGATTATTTTCGAACAGGGGAAAGAGGCAGATTTAAATGCGGCGACATAGTGGGTGGGAGTAAAAGAAAGAGGTATAATGTGTGTGTGAGTGGATAAGAAAGAGAGGCGGGAAAAATAGAAATAAGTAAGAAAATTATTTTAAAAAGAACGGAATAAAGAGAAAGGAGAGATCGACAGAGAAATAAAAATGGAAGGTGAAAGTGGGGAATAGAGAAATAGAGAAGGTTAAAAAGAAGAAATAAAAACAAGACGCTGAAAAGAGAAAATAAGAGACATAATCTAAGGAAAGACAGACAGATAAAAAGAATGCAAAGAAAAAAGAAAATAAAAAAGAAGAGAAAAAGAAGAAATAAAAAAAAGAAAGAAAGAAGAAAGAAAAGAAGAAAGGAAGAAATAGAAGAAATCAAATAAGAAGAAAGACAGCAAGGAAAAAAAAAAGAAAGATACAAAAGAGAAAGAAAGAGAAGGAGAGGAAAAAAACAAGGTAAAAGCAAACAAGACAGAATATAAAATATATAATAAATAGCTTAAAAAGAGGAAAATAGAAAAAAAAATGCTTGAAGAAAGAAAACGGCGAAGAGAAAAAAATAAAAAAAAAAAAAAAGTGTATAAAGTATTAAAGATAGAAAAAAAGAAGATAAAGAAACGAAAAGAATGGAAATGCAGAAAAAATATTACCGGAAACAATCGACAGATATATATATATATATATAGATAAAGTTATACAAACACACACAGACATATACAAACACACACACACACACACACATATATATATATATATATATATACACACTTCTTCTGGCGTGTTTGTTTGGCACATCACCTTCGACTTGTGGATATTTTACGAACGACACCCACCGACCGCCTGATGATTGCGTGAAATTGCATGAAACTAGCAGTCGTGGTCGGTCACTGATTACCTGGATTTTGAATTACATGTATATATATATATATATATATATATATATATATATATATATATATATGACAGAGAGAGAGGGAGGGTGGGAGAAACAAATTATTGTAATGTGAGATAGGAAGAAATATATGTACATACAGATATATATATATATAGAGAGAGAATAGAGAGAAAGAGCAAGTTTCGATGAGAGAATATATATATATATATATATATATATATATATATAGAGAGAGAGGGAGGGAGAAAGAGAGAGAGGGGGAGAAAGAAAGAGAGCTGTTATGTGAGATAGGAAGAAATATATATACATACAGATATATATATAGAGAGAGAGAATAGAGAGAAAGAGCGAGTTGCGATGAGAGAAATATATATATATATATATATATATATATATATAGAGAGAGGGAGGGAGAAAGAGAGAGAGAGAAAGAGAGTTGTAATGTGAGATAGGAAGAAATATATATACATACATATAAATGCATATATATAGAGAGAGAGTGAGAGAGAGGGAGAAGGAAAGAGAGAAAAAAGACTTGTAATATGAGATAGGAGGAAATATATATGCATATACATATATATATATATAGAGAGAGAGAGAAAGAGAGTTGCTATTAGAAATATATATACATATATATATATATATATATATATATATATATATAGAGAGAGAGAGAGAGAGAGAGAGAGAAAGAGAAATTGTGAGAGAGAGAAAGTGATAAACAAATGAGGAGGAAAAGGGTTAGAAGTCCATTTAGATGCAGGAATATGGTAAGAAAACTGAAGCGAACGAGACAACGAACGAAAAAAAGCCCCCCAACCCCCAAAAAAAAACAAAAAAAAAAAAAAAAAAACAAAAGGATAAAAAAAAGTAGTGGAGAATGTAACAAGGAATGAAAAATGATTAAAACTGAATGAATGAAACCATAATAAGAGAGAAAGAAGAAAATGAAAACGGAAAGGCGTGCGTTCATGTGCTAAACGTATAGGATATAATACTATTACAAAGAGTAGGAGAGGTTAAAAGAGAAAGAGAGAGAGAGAAAGCGAGGGAGAGAGAAAGAGAGGAGAAGAACAATGACTGAGAGTGTGAGAAAAAAAAGAGTGGAAACCTAGGTGAACTTTTCTGGGGGAAACAAGGTGGAAAAATGGAATTAAACAAAATAGCTGATACGGGCACCTGCTGGAGGCCATCACCGTAAGGGGCGAAGTAATGTTAGTCGGCATGGCGGTTGAGGAGATAACAAAGCACATAATTGAAGTATAAGAAGTGAGAGAATTATCTGGGTGGCGGGGGGGGATGAGCTAAAATGAAAAACCAAAGAATAGGATTCAAAACGGGTGAAGAAAATTCTAGACGAAAAGAATCCGAAAATCATCATTAGTAGACGTGAGATTCATTATATATATATATATATATATATATATATATATATATATATATATATATATATATATATGTATAGGTTGAAAATATGATAAGCTGAGACCTGAGGTTGATTGGTATGTTTCTTAGGATTGAGGTACGGAGAAGAATATTGGCTGGAGTGGTGATCTCTTTGCTGGTGGGTGTCAAAAGATAGAAGGATTGAAAAAGAAACTCTACAGATTGGTATAGGGTGATAATTTTTATAACGCACGCGTTTGGAAAATCACACCTGTTTATATACAAATCCAGAGTACCACTGCTGAAATCAATATATATATATATATATATATATATATATATATATATATATATATATATATGTGTGTGTGTGTGTGTGTGTATGTATGAAAGGAGAAAGTCCGACAATTATTTAAAGACAATTTTATGTTTATACTTTCTTTTTATAGATACTACTTTCGGATAATAACTGTGACATTCCTGTAATTATTGAACAATATAGTTCATGCCACATTGACGGAAAACCTACCAGTACAAAAGAATTCTCCTATTACCATATTAGTACAAAAACGCACAACCTTAAAATTTAAACTCAGCGTTGCGACCGCACGTTCCAAAACAATAGCACATTTCTAAAAGCATTTTTCGGATTACATCTCTATTTTCGTTGTCCTCTTATTACCGAGAAGTAAAAAACAAGAACAAATCTATTTCCATACCTGAGGATGTCTGTAGGAACAGACGAAAGCTTGTAAAAACTAAAAAAGACCTTATGAAACTGGAATTCATAAACAGGGATCATATCGTTCATATACAGGTTCGGGGTTAGTGTACTTTATTGAAATTGTTTGCGAAGATGTATTCTCGCCATTTAAATCATTAACTTCTATATTTGTTTTTTGTATGAATGATTCATGTAATTATATATATATATATATATATATATATATATATATATATATATATATATATATAATTTTAAAATTCGCAGGATTTTAAAATTAAAATTGTTGGTGAAAAATTGTCATTTACTAAAAGCGTCTTAATTCCAATTGTAAAGACTTTGCTCTGTTTAATGAAGCAGTCTGTCTGTGGATGACTTTATATAGGCTCCTGGAAAATTAATTTCAGTTGAGCTCTCTGGGGAAGAGGTGTGGGTTTGTAAACAGAGATTATTATGGCTGATATAGCGAGACTCTTCGGTTTCTGTGTGTGTGTTTATCTAAAAATAAATACGCTAAAATTCACTTTCATCCTTGCCGTGCGTCGACGACTTTGTGGTAGAATCTCCGACTGGAACCAATTCAGTCTGTCTGTGGATGACTTTATATACATATATATATATATATATATATATATATATATATATATATATATATATATATATATGAACTTTATTTCAACGTTGCCCAAAGTGACCAGTGGGGTTGCTGCACATGCATTTTCAATTTCTTGTCTAAGGGCCTACAATGTAATGTCATCTGGCGAGAAAACAGGGCCTGCAATGTAATGCCATCTGGCGAGAAAACATCTTACTACAGTAAACAGTGTTATCGCAATTTGATTATAAAATTACGAGACAAGTTTTTCTTTACCTGAAGTGTGTATACATTTTGGGGTGGAATCTGTATATATCGACGAGATAGCGTTTATAGATATAATCAGTGTGGAGACAGGAAGCAACACTGCATGGTAACTGTCGGTTTCATTCTTCAGTAAGATTAGAATTAAGGGAGGTGTGCAAAGAGAAAATCGGCTTTTTACATAAATATAGACATTTTCCACAGAGGAGCGTTTCGGTTAGGAAGGTCGATTTTCTGTCGGCGGACGCATATTTTCTAAGAAAATTTCTCGGGCATTCAGGCCGGTAAATGTCGTTAACACAGTTTATTATAAACACAGCATTTACTTAAATATTTGTATCTATAAAAAAACGTATAAGAATAGAAAAATGTCTTAAAATAATTTTCGGACTTTGTCCATTTCCTAATGTGTGACGTCATTTGTTTACAGGTGGATACGCATCGAGCAGATATGAATGTACGAGAGAAAATCATGGAGAATTGTAGTTTAAATACACTAAAATCGACCTTGTTAACAGAAACGCTCCTCCGTGGCTCAATCGGTAAAAGTACGTCAGGCTATATGACGGTTCCGTTGAGGATACAGGTTAGATGCTCTCGGAGGACGCATATTTTCTATGAAAATTTCTAAGACATTCAGGCCGGCAATACTGTTTATTATAAATAGAGCATTTACTTAAGTATTTTTATCTATAAAAAAAGACGTATAAACATATATATATATATATATATATATATATATATATATATATGAGCAAAAATATTCAATATCGTGGAGTAAGAACAGTGTGTAAAGACATTAGTATTGGATGATTGGCTATTTGACAGAGATATGGGCTCTGTTAAAACAATTTGACTGTTTTATATATCCAAACGAAGTGTGCGTTTTTTGTGTTTATACACTCAAAAAAGACGAAAAACATTATCCATTATTTGTACGTACTAAACAGCTTTTAAGTTTTAGAAGTTTTCCTCTTATAGTGATTCTTAACGTATGCCTTAAAAATTTGAAAAGTGCCAAGCAGGGGCGAAAAAACCATAGAAATATAAATCTGTCTTAGTATCTACTTATATTTCTGAGATGAGGTATCATGTACACTATTTGCATTGTTCGGACTATCATACTCATCTTTGTTGCCATATTTATCACAACGTTTTGGCCGTTGTACGCTCCTCAAGGGCACATGGCACAGTGGATAAAGGCATTAGTCAGATCCAGTGACAGGACCCAAAGAGTGTGAGTTCAATACCTGGTAAAGGCGGTGGAGAACTTGGAGAGGAGAATTAACAGGAGATAACTGATAACTGATATCCATTAGACAGAGCACGTGGAACTAGAACAGTCTACCCCCAGCGAACTAAATAAAGGGTTCAGTTCGACATTCCAAACACCTGAAGAAGGCTGGAGCGTACACCAGATGAAACGTTGTGATAAATATGGCAACAAAAAAGAAAAAAGGACGATAGTCCGAACAATGTAAATCGGTCTTAGCAGAAACGACATATAGAGGACAACAACAGTTGTGCCTTGGTTTTTTACAGAAAATTTGCTGGAATCTCTACCCTTGGTTTGCAGCCAATCGCGAAGAAGCGATACACGGAACTCAGTGCCATAGAGACCAATCTATTATCTTTTCTGGGAACAATCATGGCAATTTACCGTTTATAGTTATTTAAAAAAAATAGAGAAGCCTATTTCTCTACGTTCTGAAATGACGTGGCATTTGTGGAGGGGGAAAGAAAGCGAGGGAAAAAAAGATTGAAAATAATAAAGAAAAAAAAAACGTTTAGAGTACAAGGAGGAAGAATATTTGGCGGTAAAGGGTAAAATGTTTTCCGACTATCCGTCAGTGTGCGTGTTTGTCTAGTGAACCAAAAAATTGGACGGCACCGTTCGGCTTTGCCAGAACAAAGACGTCGATAATTAGGCTCGATATGACGAAAGAGAGGACATGGAAATGTCGGGACGCATGAGGTGAGCCAGACGTCACTGTCATACAAAAAACCAAAACAAAAACCAAAAAAAAAAAAAACCCCAAAAAAACAAACAAAAAACAACAAAAAAAAAAAACACGCATGGGCGGTTGGTTGTGGCGCAGCACATCAAAGTCATTTACTGAATATCAAACAACAAAGCTAAAAATACATATATAGATATATACATTCTTTTCAGGTATACGCTCTTACCAGTAGCAGGATGACTGCCGCAGGGAGATGGTTAACAAAGAACTATCACTAAAACTGTAGGAATTTTCGATATTGATGCTGGACAATTGTGTCCGAGTGACTATGACGATAAATTTGCATGTATAATTCTCCAGAAATATAAATTAGAACAATTATTTATTACTAAGCTTCACTCAGTAAAATATTCGAAAGCCACTCAAGGTAGAGTTTCATAGTTAAATTCGTAATAATAATTGAGGTACGTGATAGAATAAAAGAGATGGCAGCAATTAAAGATTATTAATATAAGAGATACGGATTGAAAAAAAAAGAACTCTCCCGCAGATTTCGAAACTGCAACACCCTAAACAGATAGAACCCGTCGTTAAATATGATATACCCTAATCGTCTCGCCAACAGAGTAACCTAAATGCTTAAGCCTAATATGACACGTGCATTTATGTGAAATTCTACAGACGCTGGTTCAAATGCTGTTGAAGAGAGCATATCTTTTTTTAATGACATTTCTAAAATATTCAGGCTGCTAGAGAAAAATAAACAAATACACTCTACCAAATAAAGGAAGCATCTATTCAAATACGAGTACCCACTAAAAATGACGCTTAAATTCATAAGAATCTGTCGGACTGATAAGTAAAAATCAATTACCTTATATATATATATATATATATATATATATATATATATATATATATAATATAAAAGGCTTAAACACTAATATTCCAAAGTCATAATTTATTCCATTGGAATCGTAAATATGATACAATTCATCAGACATACAAATTCAAATTCAAAAAGAAAACTCCGGGAATAAAAATAAAATTTAGTGAGATTGTATGTATGAGAGTGTGGGACGCATGTTAGAGTAAATGAAAGCTATAGAGAGGGGTAACAGACGAGAAAAGAACAGGAGAAGAACAGGAAGGTCTAAAGATGAAGGGGGGATTAAAATTTAACAGAGAGAAGTTTTAAAGAGGAGAGTCAAAGACGGTTTAAGTGAGAGAAATATGAATAGTCGCGGATGTCTAATACATTAAAGATGCAACCGGAAAAGATAAATTTTGTGGTGACATACACACACAATAGACGATCTAATCTTAAAGATCAGAAGATGAGAGCGGGAGAGTAAAAGAAAAAAAAAGAAAAAGGAGTGGGGGGAGAGAGATGGGGCAGGGGGAACTAAAACCGAAGGACATTTATAAAAGGGCCGCTGTTTAATTAAGAAAATTTGAGAAAATTAATAACGACTACAGGTTACAAATCAAATATAAACATATAAAAAAACAAATATAACGATTATCTAAACTACCAAGGACCTATATTTCTATGTTCAAAAACACATGCGTATACACACATACACAACAACATTTTTATATTTACACGTACATACATACATACATACATAGAGGCGTGTACACACATACATCTACATATACCCATGTATA